AGCAAAGGAGACTAAAGAGAAATGGAAACCTGCTGCTGCCTGCCCTCTCAGCTCTCTGGGGCTGGTAGGAGGAAAGTCCTGAACTCCCCACACCCACAGCTTATGGAAAAAGAATAAAGAGAGGTGTGTGTGTGCGCCTGGGTCCTCAGTTTCTCTTTATGAAAAGAGAAAATGAGGAAGAGCTATGAGAGAAACCAGGCTTCTCCCTCCTTGCTTATCAGTTGGCAAGATCTTCACTAGCTGCCAGCCTCAGGACTTGGTTCCCTCCTCTGCCCACTTGGGTCCTTGTCTCTGCTCCAGGTTCTGGATCTCCTCCTCAGCCTCGAGCTCCAAAGGCACGCTCAATGACCAGTAGTGCCGTGGGCCACCCTGGAATCATTTGATGCATTGCCTTCCAAGCTTCTCAGAGGTGCTTCAGGGAAGTCCAGCCATCTCACCTGTTGCCCAAAGTCAACAAGCCCATCCTTTGCACAGTAATCATAGAGGCCAGCTCCCAAGGGAAACATAGAAGGAGGCAGGGAGGCCAATCTTGTACGCTTTGTACAGATCTCATACCTCTCCCTGTCCTATAGGGTAGCTTTCCTTCCTCTGCATGGTCTTAGACCATACATTTTCCCTGTGGTCACATGCTCCCTTCTGTATGAGGTCATTCTTAGTCATTCTTGCCTTCTCCTTGGAGATTACCTTCCATCCACTCTGTGTGTATCTTGTGTGTTTCTAGTTACTTGCATTTTGTTCCCCTCCATCTCCCACCCCCCAGCCCCCACCATTAGTATGTGATCTCCTCGAGGTTAGGGATCCGTGTTTTTGCCTTTCCTTACATCCTCAGTCCTTAGCACAGGGTGTGGCACATTGTCGTTGTTCAGTCATTTCGGTCTTATGACCCCATTTGGGGTTTTCTTGGCAAAGATACTGCAGTGGTTTGCCATTTTTTTCTCCAGCTTATTCCTCCAGATGAGGAAACTGAGGCAAACAGGGTTACATGACTTGCCCAAGGTGACACAGCTAGTTAAGTATCTGAGGCAAGATCTGAACTCAGATTCTCCTAACTCCAAGCCCAGTGCTCTATTCACTTCCCCACCTAGCTGCCCTCCCATGGCACATCGTAAGTGCTTAATAAATGTCAGTTGGATGATCGATTGCCCTGGAGAGAACATTGGCAGTTTTACTTCCCAGCGTCTCATACGTTCTCTTTCCCCCTGTGGAAACAGAGATGAAACAGTGATGCAGAAGCACTTGTTATATTAGGAAGACAGATTTCAAAGAAAAAAAAAATTTAAAGTAAGTATGATCTGACAGCCCATGCCTCTAAAAAGTAGAGGGCTAGGAGATTGTTTAAAAACAAAATCCTGGTACCATCATCACAAATGACTTATGCAAAGGAAAAGGGAAAGGCTTCAAATCTAAAGATAGCGACGTGAGCCCTGGGATCTTACTAATGAATTCAGCGTTTTAAAGGACGAGAACAAAACCTAGAAGGAGGGACACATAACCAAAGATAAGTACTGAAGAGTGGCCCAGACCTACAAGAACAAGGTCAGAAAGGCAGAAGCTCATCCTGAGCTGAAATTTTAGAAGAAAGTAAAGGGAAGGAAAAGAGCTCTTTGAAGCCAGTTTGAAGTTAGATGAAGGATGAAGAGAGGATGGGACCACTGCCTAGGCATAGCTCCCCTACTCCTGATCTGCTTCCCCACCAATGAGAAGGCTCTTCAAAGTGGACAAGGCTGAACAAATAGGATGAGAGGGAAATGGAAATATCATGGTGTTGCAAAAACATGTGAGGACTGAGAAGACCTGGGTTCTACTCCTGGTACTGCCATCCACTTGCTAGGTGACCTTGGACGAGTTAATTCACCTCTTTCATCCTTATTGTTTTTCTTCTTTTTTTGATTTTTTTTTAAAGGCAATCAGGGTTAAGTGACTTGCCCAGGGTTACACAGCTAGTAAGTGTCTGAGGCTGGATTTGAACTTAGATCCTCTTGATTTCAGGGTTGATGCTGTATCCACTGTGCCACCTAGCTGCCCTGTTTTCTTCTTTGTAAGAAAAAAAATGGGAGTTGGATTAAATGATCACAGTTCTAGGACTCAGCATCCAAAGTTATGAGAGGAGATAGCAGTGAGCTGCTTTAAAGGAGTTCAGCCCTCCAGGCCCCTGATGAATTACATCCCAGGGAACTGAAGGAACCTGTAGATTCCATCATGGAGTCATGCAGTTAATCTCTGAGAAAACACAAAGAACAAGAAGGCTTGAGATGGGCAAGTTTTTCTGACTTCCAAAATAGGGAAAAAACTATAGGCCAATGAGCTTGATGTCAAAAATGCAAGATGAATTATTAAGCATATGGTTTATAAGGGCTTAGAACAAGAATTCTTAAACTTTATTGTATCTTGGCACCCTTGAAAGATTGGTGAAGCTATAGACCCTTTCTCTGGATAATGTTATTAGATTTTTTTAATTCATCATTGAAAGAATGTTAAACTTCAATTAGAAGATAGTGAAATTAAAAATGCAACTTGTTTCCTAAGTTCATGGACCCCCCTGAAATCTATCTACTGACCCATGATGGGGGCCCATAGACCCCAGATTGAACCACTCACTGACTTAGAATGCTTTGATCACTGGGAGGTAACATGGATTGATTGAGAACAAGTTGAGGGGAGGAACTGGACCTATGATTTCACTGGCATAGGGAGCTCCCAGGTGAGGAAGCTCCTTCTACCAATGTACCTTCTCTGCAACTTAGAGTCTTAGTTGTCCAGAGCACTGAGAAATTAAGTGATTTGCCCAGGGTCACACAGCTGGTATGTATGAAGCAGGGTTTGAACCTAGGTCCTCCTGGTTTCTAAACCAGCACTCTTATCCTTTGTCCCACAGCCAAAATATACCCATTCCCTTTCATGACAAGGGTGTTAGATCAGGTAAAAGCCACAGTCATAATAATCAATGTTTTGATTTAAGCAAGGCATTTAATCATCTCCCATGATATCCTTGTGGACAAAATGGAGAAATGTAGGCATGACATTTTTGACATTGAATTATATAACTTAACTATGCTTGATTAGTGGACCTATGTCATTCTGGTAGAAGGTATAATGGTGTGCCAAGGGGCAACACCTTTTATCAGTAACTTAAATGAATCCACATAACTGATATCTGGCTTTGGAGTCAGCACCAATCTTGGAGAGATAGCTAATACATTAAATGACATCAGGATTCAAATTGATCTCAACAGTATTGGTTGGCAGGATGATACTAATAGGATGAAATTCAACAGGAATAAATGTAAAGTCCCACACTTGGGCTTAAAACATACAGGTTCGGGAGGTAGTAGCAGTTTATGTGAAATTTAGTAGCAGCTCATGTGAAAAAGACCTGGAGGTTTTTGTTGTCTACAAGTTCAAGAAGTTAATTCAACGTTAGGCTGCATTATTGGAAGGAATAATATCCAAAACCAGGGAGATGGTTGTCATCCTGTACTCTCTTCTGGTCAGATTCCATCTGGAGTATTGTATTCAGTTTGAGGTGTTAGCCTTCATGGAAGACATTGGCAAACTGGACCAGTACATCGAGAAGTGAGCAGCCAAGATGGTGAGGGAATTCATAAGCTTTCAGAGTTTGAAGGAACCTCATGCATCATGTAGTCAACCCCTATTAGAATAAGTATCCCTTCTAGAATGTATCACACAGGAAACAGTTGAAGATACTAGCAATGTTTAGCCTACAGAAGAGGAGAAGAATTAGGGGGAGAACATGATAACCTTCCACAGATTTGAAAGGCTGTCAGGTGGAAAAGGAATTAGTTTTCCTTGAACACTAGAGGGCAGAATTAGGACAAATGAGTGGCCGTTCTAGGAAAGCAAATTTCAGCTCAATTTAAGGATATCTTTTGAACACGGTTTTGGAGTCACTTTTAGTGGTTAGGGCGCAACCCATCAGGGGTTCTGTCTGGGCAAAATGTTCTTCACCTTTTCTGGTTCCCAGACAATTTGGGTTTCTGTAAACCTTCCCTTGTCCCCTACTCAATATGAAAGGAAATAATTTCAAGAGTTTGCCATGTTTATTCACACAAGAAATACAATAGAGTTTAACTCTAATAGGATAATACACTTAATTGCTAAGTATTCCCCATATTCCCTTGACAAGCTTCTTGTATTCCCTAGAGGTGTGTGTACTTTAGGTTGGGAACCCCAGGGGACTCTAAATACTCCTGTATCTGATGGGAGGCTCACACAGATGAGCTCTGCTGACATCCTTAGTATTACACATGTCTTAGGTTTTGTGAAGGGGCAAAAGGTAGTTGCATTAATCAGTGAACACCTATTGATTAACTCAACTAGATTCAATGCTAGTCCCTTGAGATTTCCTAGAGAAGATGGAAGAATTTCCTCTCTCTTGGGTCATTGAAAGTCACGGTCTCTGGAGCCTTACTCAGCCTGGACCTTAGGCCAAGGAGAGGGGGCAGAGTTGGGTAGGTGGGCTGTCAGAGTGAAGCCTAACTTTGGTCCTTCCCCCAGGTCATTACAGTGAGTCTCGGTGTCTTCTCTTCCCCCAACTTCCCAACTTGGACTAACTCGTGCTGCCCCAAGTAGGGATGCCTGCTTGCACCGTAGCTAACATTTCACTTTTTCTTCCTCCCTTTCCCTGCCTCTTTCCCCCTCTCCATGTCCTGTTCCTGCCCCTCCCCCCTAATTCTCTGGGAATTCTGGGCTTGGTTTGCCCTTGTCCCACCTACTTCCTCCTCTCTCACCTTCCTTTAGTAGGCTCCACTCTCTTCCTGGTCTACTAGCTCCTCTAACTTTCTGTCCAAGCAACACACTCTCTCTCACACACATCTGTATGCACAGCCCCACCCCCAGTCCAGGAATTTCCTTCTCCAGACTTCCCTCTGCCCCATTTCTTTTTAAGACAGTTTTCTCCTAGATGCCTAGAGGGATTTTTCTCTGCCTGGAGGCACAGAACATGGCCCTCAGCCCCACTGACCCTTGCTTTTTTTTTCCAGGTCAATAGACCATCTAAAGAGGTGAGCGGGTCAAATGAGACCTCAAGCCCAGTCTCAGAAAAACCCTCTGCTTCCAGAACTTCCATCCCCGTATTGACTTCCTTTGGGGCAAGGAATTCCTCCATCTCCTTCTAAAGCCCTATGTTCTTCCTCCCATTTCCTCCCCTCTTCTTCCTCCTTCTACTTACCTCTCACCATATTCCCTTCATTTCCCCACCCCCAACACACCTTCCTCCAGAATCTCAACAGGATTTGCTGCAGTTATGCCCACCTTCTAGCTGCCCTACCCCCACCCCTGTGGTGTTTTTGATTTTTTGAAATAATCCACTTTTAATGACCTTTTTTTAAAAGCCAAAACAAAAAAAAAATGAAAATCAAACACACCACCTATCCCTTTCTGTCCTGGAATGGTCTCCTCTTGGGCCACCATCCTCTCCTATTTTCTATCCCAATTTCTTCTTTCACCATCCTGCACTTCCACATTCTTCTCACCCATCCTCTCCTCCCTTTTCCTGCCTCCCCTTTCCTTTTTCCTGACTCCCTTCTGGCTTCCTGATACTGCTCCAAATGAACTTCGACCCATGTCAGGAATTTCCAAGCCATGAGGACTTGGAGCTGTGAAAGGTACCCCCTCTCCCACCCTGATACCTTCGTGGGAGAAAAACTGGACATTGGACCCAGCTCTAATGAGGGGGCTCAGAGATGGGGGGACAAGGAGAGACCCTGGCAACACCTCCTGACTGTCTGACCTCTGGACATGACTGTTAATCTGTCACTGCTGCTATCCTGGTTCTCTCCTCCTGGAAAAGGCATTGGAAACCAAGATGAATGGCCTGGAGATGGAACTCCCAGCTTCAGGGGCTGCAGGGAGGCCTCGGCGTCCGTGTCTTAAAGGGAGAGCACATGAGGTCTGCCCTTTACTGGCAATAAGGAACTACCCACCGAGTCCAGAGCTGGGATGAGGGGGAGTGTTTTGGATTCTGTGAGTTTGGAGGCAGGGGCAGTCCAGTGTTGAGGGGACACTGCCCTGGGGGCGAGGACACCCCAGGAAGGGACTTTACTTTTAGTTTATTAATTTAGCACTTTAAATGTCATTAATTTATGTAAAAGGAGGGGGGAAGGCAGCAGGAAACAGATGGCTTTGGGAATCTGAAGTGGTACTGGGGAGGGGGTGTTGCCAGATTGTGTGGGAATCTGGGAGATTAGGCAATGAGAGAAGGCAAGAAAGAGAAGAAGAAGGTAAGGAAGTTTATCTGATTCTCCTCTCCCCCATAAGAATATAGGAATTTTCAGGGAAGTAGTGAAATGGTAGAGAAACTAGCATGGGTCCAGAATCCCTGGACTCCCCCCAATGTGGGTCATGGTGGCCACAAAAGGAACTGGCCAGCCAGCCAGTGCCCAGGCCTTACCAGTCTAGGAACTGCACTGGTCCAGGGCCCTGTAGAGTATTTGGGCCCATCCTAAGGTGTCCTGAAGACTATTAAGTAGGTCTTGAACTGGAAGAACCTAGTATTGCCCCAGGGTCCAGGATAGTGGGGATGGATGACTGAATGAAAGCTGGGGGAGTGGACCTAGAATAGAAAAGAAGAAGGTCCCTTCCCACCCTCTCCCCCAGTATCTGGAGCACAACTGGTACATTAGTGCCAGCACAGGAAGTTCATGAGGCAAGGTCGTGCAATCAGCTCAGCCAGGGACAGGGTCTCCTGAGAGAATAAGCACAGAGAAAGGATGAGGGTCAAAGGGGGCTATACTTTGAAGTTTGGGTTTTTGTTTTTCTTTTTGTTTTTTTTTTAGTTCTTATTTTCAAGATTGGGATCATTTTTGTATGAAGGTATGTGAGGCTTTTTGAAGAATAATATAGAAGAGAAAAAAAAACTCACAAAAACTGAACCCTCCTGAACCCCACCCTCCACAAAAAAATATAAAGGAAAAAAGGGGAACCTCATAAATGATGCAATTACTTTTAATTGCAGGCAACTCTTTACATTTAAGTGAAGTGTCTTAACATTTTATATTGTTTTAAAAATATATTTACATATTATATATATATATATATAATATACGTAATATAAATATATATAAATATTTAAAAAACGGGAAAAAAAAAGAAACCTAAGCACTCTCCCTGGCCGCTGTTTGGCGGGGGAGGGGGCCGGGAGGCCAGGGTCGGGGAGGCAGGTTTGTCTGACTTCTGGTTTGGTTCAATTTGGCTGTACAGAGACACCCTTCTCCTTCCCCCACCTTAGCCTAGGGAGTGGATCTGCCCCCCCCCAAGCTGTTCCCCCAGCCTTGACTTTTCCTTCCTACTCTTTGGAGCTCAGTGCCCTCCCTCCCCAGACTGCACCCTTCCTGCCCTATGGGGATCATTGCCCCTCCCCACCCTTACCTGACCTCTCCCGCAGCCTGCGCTCCTCCTGTCCCTCTTCCTTGGAGGCCAAGTGTGTTGCCCACTGTCACTGTCTAGAGTGTAACGTCCCTTTGTGGCCTGTGTGAAGCCAAGGGGCAAGGGGACAGATGTGTTAATAGAAAGACACCCTTGCTCTCCTCCCCAGCATTTCTGCTGGCTAAAAGGAGATTCTGGGGGGATCAAGGATGCTTTCTTCCCCTTCCTTGCAACTTTGTGTGTATGGAGGGGAAGGAGGGAGGTACATGATCCTGTGAGTGCGCATGTGTCCATCTACATGCTTGTACATGAACCTGGTGCATTTGTGCATCCGCTTGTGTCCCACGCCTCTTACCCCTGTCCCAAAGCTTTCACCAAGGGAAGGGGATAGACCAATCCCATGCCCTTTCTGGCCCCCAGATGAAGACCCCCTTCCCTGCCTCCCTGCCAAGTTTTGTTTTCTGCCAAACCCGCTCGCAGCACGTTCCCACTCTGCCCTTCTCGCCCTGCTTGCTGCATGCGCCTCACTGCTCGCACTCTCTGCTGTCCGTCTGTGTGTGCTTGACAAAAAGAAATCTAAGAAGTCTGGGGGGGGGCCTCCTCCCCCTTTCTCTCCCCTTCTGTGCCGTGGCTTTCGCATGGGCATTTTCTTTTCCTTGTCCTTCCCCCAGTAGGCTGTTTCCACAGGAGCCGCACCCCAAGGGCCCTGAGTGGGGTCTCCTAGGGCTGGGGCAGCTCTGTGCTCCCCCTCCCCCCCAACGGGCTCATGTTGGTGTAGCAATGATTGGCTGCTTTGGATATTCTGTGATCTCTGTCAGTGTAACATGACAATTTCTAAATGGAAAAGGGTTGCTGTATTCTCTCTGTCTCTGTCTTTCTCTCCCTCCCTCTTTTTTAATGTCCTTCCTCATCTTTCCTTTTTGATTTTTCTAGCCAAGCGTTTGGGGCTTTAATAAAACTTGTTTCTTTTTCGTCTCCTGGATCTCCCCCTCTGTGGGCTTCTGTCTGGTTATTTCACCCTTCCACCTTCCTTAGGGCACAGGAAAGTGTTGAGAGGACCCTGATTTCCCATCCCTTTGTAAATGATCATGAATCTCACTGCTGTCACCCGGTGTAACCACACAAGGTACAACAGAAGAGTCCTAAGGACAAATTTCTGAATTGGCACATTCCTCACAAGCTAGCCTGACAGAATTGATTTGGCATCATTTCCAGGGGTGGTGATGTCTGAAGTCCCTCCTAGAACTTACATCATCTTCTGTCTCCAGATGTAGGCTCCCAGGTGTTCCCTGGTGGCACTGGACTGTGATATATTTGCTCTTGGGTGCTGCCCAGGACTTCTGGGGTCTTGTGTTGGTCTTAGCCCGCAGGAGAAAGAATGCTTCCTCTCCTCAGCTTTAGGCTGTCCAGGGTCCTGAAATGACCCACGAGGTATTTTGTCGGCCTTTTGTTAACAATAATTCTAGTCTTCAGTAATGGTTTCCTGAAGTCTATTTCAAGGCTGGTATCTCAGGTTAGGTTTTCTGGTAGTCAACTAGCTATGTTGAGTGTCATCTTTATTTCGAAGCTCTGTTCCCTGGCTTCATCAAGAACACATTCTACTTCTCCTGTTTCAAGAGTTCCTACTCCCTGTTGGGCTGCACACTAAATCCTTGCCTCCACCAGGCATCCTTTCCCCAGTAAAGGGGGGGTCTGTGACCAGGGTAGGGGTTACTCAAGGAGGTCCACAGGCTGGAGAATTCTTTCCTACAGTACCCATCCTCTTGGTAAATTGTGGTCTGATGTGCCTTCAGGCCCAGCAAAGTTCTCCCTTGGGGTGATGCCTCTCTGTATATTTCCACTCCAAATCCTGCCAGACAGCTGGCAAGATGATGTCTAAGTCTCTGGCAGCTCTCCCTGTCCTCTTGCAGATGTCCAGAAATGCCCATGGGTCCTGCTCCCTCTCTGTGGGTAAAAAGGTCCCTTGGGGTGATTATATATTGGCTCACTTCAAGGGCCAGCTCAGGACTAGACTCCCATTTCTTTTCTTTCTCATGTTCTAAGGCCAGCTCAGGCATTGTTCCACACCATGTGTATTCTTAGAAATTGAAAGGATTCTGATGAGCTGTTTCCCAGCCCTCTTCACCTCCATGATTACTTTGAGGGCATCATTGAATGGGAAATCCTCACCAGACCCCTCCTTGCAAGCTCATATATTAGTCCAAACCTACTCTGGGCATCTCCAGTGACTGAGTATTAACTAGTTTGAAGCCCTAAGCTTCTCTGGCTTATGAAGGTCCTTGATGCTGCCCTTCTTGGAAATGGTCTGCTTCTCAAAGATGCTGAAGCTTCAACTGAGCTCTTTCCTGGAGACCTTAGTAGTTTCTAGTCCTTGTAGCTGCCCTGCACCTTGGGGGTGATAACCCCAATTTGATTCAAAGACCTTAAATTCCATCCTCTGAGTAGTTCCTATTCCCAAAAGAGCACTTCTAGCTTGGGAAGGAACTGAAGAAATCAAGACTTACTCAAGGTCCTGCAACCAGGAAATAGAGATCCAGGACTTGATCCTTTGCTTCCAAAAGTTGCTTCCATTACACTTTGATATATACCTTGTCGGTGAGGAAGGACCCTGTCTACTGTTCCCCCTCTCAGAAATTGCCACTACTTTGGGATGTCTTGGCAATCAAATCTTTTGGTCAATCAACTCCTGGCCAGCCAGTCCCTGACTAATCTCCGGAGTGCCATCTCTTCCTCCTTCATTTCCAACTCAGTCATCTGCATCTGGAGTGGGAGCTGCTCTGCCATCTTGTAATATCCTTTCCAGGATGCTGGTAGGTCCTGTGCCTCCTCTCCCTTCTCTTCCCCCTTACTTCATTGCCTGTTAGCTGGGAAGTTAGCCAAAAGTCCAACTGGATGCCTGGATGCCCCTGTCATGTCGTTTGTGGCCACTCACCCAGCTACACTCCCACATATCTTATTAACCCTAATTTCTTGAGTCCCTCTGACCAGGTTGTCTGTTGGCTCCCCTGGCTGATTGCCACCTTGCTAGTGTTGTTGCTGACCACTGTCAGAAGAAGGCTCCTCTTTACTGTTCTCTAAGCAGAGCTGTAAATCCTGCCTGCATCCTCTTGACTTCACTCTGGGTTCCACTACAGTGAGGTTTGGTATCCCCAACAAACCCCTCTTCCATTCCAACAGCCACAATTTCATTTTGATTGCTGAGATGGATCTAAAAAACCCAACTTTTTATAGTCTTTTATTTTTACATCACCTACATTTCTTTCCTTTATCCTTCCCCCATCTCTTCCCAGAGAGCAATTCCCTATAACAAAAGATTTTTTTTTAAATAACAAGAACAAGGGGAAAATAAGCAAAACAAATCAATATGTAACAAAGATTTTTTTTAAAACTAGAAAGAGCAAGGAGATAAAGATGAGCAAAACCAATCTACATTTTTAAAAATCTGACAACACATGCAATAACCCACAACTTTGGACACCCCCCCCCGAAGGAGTGAAGGGAGGTGTTTTCTCAGATGAGCTGGACTTTCTGACTTCCAAACCCAGCTGTCTGCATACTTTCCTGGATGTTGCCAGCATCTCTTTTCTTTCCCTGGTAGCTCAAGGTACTACCCAGTTTCCAGTGTAATGAAAACCAGAATTGATAGATTGGTTTGTCTCCACTTTGCCCAGTGGGACAGGTTCACTTGAGGCTTATCCAAATGGTTCTCTCCCAGCCCTGCCACTAGGTGTATCATTCAGGAGCAATGTGCTGTCCCATCACAACTAGCACTAACTCTGCCTTTCCTGGGTGTTCTACCAGCCTTGATCTCAGTCCCACTGATTCTCCCTGGAATCCAGAGCTGGGCTGGTGACTGCCACCCCACTCCAACCCCAATCCGAACCTTCCCTTCCTACACAACTCCACTGTACTGACTAAGGTGAGGGAAACTCCCTTTCCTCAAGGGTTGGAGTTTTTCCGAAGGAACTTTTGAGAAACCAACAAAATGGAAAGGCATAGAAAGACAAGTTTTGTGGAGTTTAATCCAAACTTAGGTCTAACTAGAGATGAATTTGTCTGGCACATCATACAAACGATATTTATTAGAGGGTTGTGAGTGTGGCTAGGGTTTTTCCTGTTCTCCCATAGCCTCATCAAGATATGTGTTCACCCTTCATTCTACACTCTCACTGCCTAGGTAGAGCATCCTGACTCACAATCTGCCTCCAGTCTCCTCTAGCCTAGGTTTCCTTATCTTTCAATACAATAAAAAAAAAATCCTTAGTCTTCTTCATGGAGAAGTCCCTCTTTACAACTGATCTCCATCCCTATTGCTGACAAATAAGCAGGTATCTTGTATCTTAGGGTGACTTCCTGAGAGAAGCAGCAGGCCCAGGACTTATGGAGTGAATGAGTGAACATAAAGAATGATTTCACCCAGGAACTTAGCAAACCCAAGTCTTAGAGAATTAATGAATGGGTGAATGAGAAAAAAAACCCCACTTATTAAGATTTTACAATGTGCAAAGCGTTGTGGTAAGAACCGTGGATACGTATAGAAAAATAAGACAGTCTCTGGTCTCTCTTAATCCCCTTTCAACTTTCTTTTGCTTTATGGTTGTTGTACTTCCAGGCCCTATTTCCTTCTTTCCTTCCCTAGTGCCACATATTCCAGACATTTTCTGGGGCTTCCTCAGAAAGGAAAAGGGTAGATGGGTCAAGATGTCTCAAGAATAAAATTACAGATATTTGAAGGTACACATAACAGAAAATTACCAAGCCCTGAGTGAGCAATCCTAGCTTTGTTTCGCTATCTTCTGGCTAAAAATTTTCCCTATCCCATTGAATTACTCCCTACACCTGGAGCACAGGTGTGCACACTCCCTCATTTTGTAGCTGACCTTCCCTGTACTGAGAATGTCACCTATTAAACCAAAATGCCCTCTGTTCCTACCATGAAACACCATTTTGGGAGTGGCTTTCTTGAATACTCTGGATTGAGCTCCTTTTTCCATTCTACAATCTCAGAATCACTTAGCCAATTAAAGATGGCTTCCTAACTTCCAGTAGGTTTAGAAGTCTTTGTGTCCTGGACCCCTCTGACAGCCTGCTGGAGTCTATGGACTTCTTAGAATAATGTTTTTAAGGGACAACTAGGTGGCACAGTGGATTGAGCACCAGTCCTGGAGTCATGAGAACCTGAGTTCAAATGTGGCCTCAGGCTAGCTATGTGACCCTGGGCAAGTCACTTAACCCAGATTGCCTAAAAAACAAACCAAAAAAAAAAAGAAATCAGATGTTTTTAAATGCATAAAATAAAATACATAGGATCACAAAGGAAATCCATTTTATTGAAATAAAATTATCACAATATTTTGTTTAAAACGTGTGTGAAGACTTGTGACTTCCACAGAAATAGATCTCAACCCCCTCAGGGGCTTAATAAACAGTCTGCATGAGCTGTGCCCAAAAAATTAAAATATAAAAACACTTCATCATATATGGATGAACTTCTCTGTTCTCAAGACCAATGAGTGCAAATTGTACTAATCTAGTCTTATATGACAGATACAGGCTACACAGGCAATAGCCCAGTCAGTAACTGAAGCTTTTCCAACTTGGTAGGACCTACTAGAGTTTGAACTCTACAAGTACAGCCCTTCAAGAACTCAGGGTCACCTCCATGCTACTAGGGGGCAATAGAGGCATCCATTTGCTCATTTGTGTAGCAAGAGACCATGCCTTACCCTCAAACCAAACAAGAATAGAAAAAAGTGTACTCAACATTCAGTTAACCCCAAAGTGCACCCAGGACTTAAAGAGCCAAATGGTGGCTATTATTATTATTATTATTATTATTAGGGGGGGAGGTAGGCAATGGTGTTAAGTGACTTGCCCAGGGTCACACAACTACTAAGTGTCAAGTGTCTGAGGCCAGATTTGAGCTCGAGTCCTCCTGACTCCAGGGCCGGTGCTCTATCCACTTCATCACCTAGCTGCCCCT